TTCACATGTTCATGTTTGATGTTGTCCATCTGTAGTATGCCCAGATATTTATAGGCCTCTGGCTGGTGACACTTTATCACTTGGCCATTGGGCATATTTATGCCCTCACTTTCAATGATTTTTCCCTTCTTCAGTTCCACTGTTGAACATTTGTCCAAATCAAACACACCAGAAAACGGTGTGTTTTTCGGTTTCCCCGCATAGTCAAGTTTTTAAAATCTTATATTGTTTCCACTCTGAATATGAAGATTTTTAAAGATTCGGGTACATTCATATTTAAAACAACCAGATTAATTGTTTACCCTTATTCCCAACACAGATACATTCCAAAATATAACAAAATGTGAGCACCAAAGCCTAAATACCATGAAGGAACCAGATCCATCTGAACTTGGAAGTGAAGCAAAGCTATTATTATTTATTTATTGTTTACTTCATTTGTATACCGCTCTCTCTCAGCCCGTAGGCGACTCAGAGCGGTTTACAACCAAATCAGTATAGAAAGTGCACAACATTAGCATTTAAAACAGTAAACATGGCAACTACATCAATATAACAATACATCAGTACATCAATATAACATCAATACATCCATATAACTAATCCATCACGTCTCATCAGAAAAGTCATAATCCGATCTCCTTGTCCATTATTCCATGTTCCAATAATCAATCAATTAATTGCACTGCTTAATTAAATGCCTGTTCAAAGAGCCAGGTCTTCACTCTTCTCCTGAATGCCAGTAGGGAGGGGGCCGATCTAATGTTTGCGGGAAGGGCGTTCCACAGCCGAGGGGCCACCACTGAGAAGTCCCTGTCTCTCGTCCCCGCCAGCCGTGCTTGTGAGGCCGGTGGGATCGAGAGCAGGGCCTCCCCGGACGATCTTAATGTCCTAACTGGTTCATAGGGGGTGATGCGTTCGGACAGATATGTCGGGCCAGAACCGTTTAGGGCTTTAAAGGCTAAAGCCAGCACTTTGAATTGTGCCCGGTAGCAGATTGGCAGCCAGTGGAGCTGGCACAACAGAGGAGCTAACCCTCGTTAATATTTGGACAAAAGACCAACCATGAACACCAGGTATTTCAAGCTATGATTCAGTGGGAGGAAGAGGCAAAACCACCTCAGGGTATGCTTTGTCTAAGAAAACCCTATGAATCAAGTTGCCAGGTGCCTTGAAGGCATATATACATCCATGCAGCAGTAGCAGCAAAAGCCGGCAGATGATTCTGCAAAAACTGTCAACCCAGAAATCATTTTGGGATATCAGTTACAAGAGGATCTGTCAGTTGTATATTCTGTTATTGCAAGGCCATTTATATCCTGTGTTATGCCTTTCGTGTTATGCAATCCAGGACATCGCTTTATAACATTGGAAATGTTCCGTGCTAATTGTCACTTTTAGTTTGGGGAATGCCACTGACACACATCAATGCAAGACACAAAGCAGACAATAGAAGAATATTGAAAAGACACTTACCAGGAATTCCTCATCTTCTGCCTTAGTTCTTCCAAATTTCTTGAGCTTCTCCTCGATATCAAAGTTTGGATCACTACAAAAGAACAAAAGAAGATACTATAACAACACAGAAATCCTCCATCTGCTTCCTGATAAAACTGTCAATAGCCCTGTGGTTTTAACTGTGGAAAACCCAGAAAATTGGACAAAAAGTTGATTGGATAGTATCATTTATTAGTAACCTGTTGATGACAAAGCACTTTGATCCAATTTGTGTAGCTTTCTCAAGACTGATAGGGTAGTTATATCTAGTGGTACTTTTGAGGTGACAATTGCTGAAGCTTAATGCAGTACAAACCCTGGGGAAATAATTGTTTTAATAGTACTTTGTGTTTCTAAGGAATTGTGACCCAGTGTACTACAAAGAACTGGATGGTTTCTCATTTGTTTTGAAAGAACACTGAGCCTAGTGGTATCTTCTGAGTTTAGGATTTTTTTCCACTACACAATTGTAGTGCTATGATTTAATTTTCCCTGCCATGGATCCATCCAATGGAAATCTGAGTCCAGGGAAGTAATGCTACCCCTCTATTCTGCTTTGGTTAGACCACACCTGGAATATTGTGTCCAATTCTGGGCACCACAATTCAAGAGACATATTGACAAGCTGGAATGTGTCCAGCGGAGGACGAGTAAAATGATCAAGGGTCTGGAGAACAAGCCCTATGAGGAGCGGCTTAAGGAGCTGGGCATGGTTAGCCTGAAGAAGAGAAGGCTGAGAGGGGATATGATAGCCATGTATAAATATGTGAGAGGAAGCCACAGGGAGGAGGGAGCAAGCTTGTTTTCTGCTTCCCTGGAGACTAGGACATCGAACAATGGCTTCAAACTACAAGAGAGGAGATTCCATCTGAACACGAGGAACAACTTCCTGACTGTGAGAGCCGTTCAGCAGTGGAAATCTCTGTCCCGGAGTGTGGTGGAGGCTCCCTCTTTGGAAGCTTTTAAACAGAGGCTGGATGGCCGTCTGTCAGGGGTGATTTGAATGCAATATTCCTGCTTCTTGGCAGGGGGTTGGACTGGATGGCCCACGAGGTCTCTTCCAACTCTTTGATTCTATGATTCTATGATTGGCATTTCATCTAAACCTGCTCTACAGGGAAAAGGTATCATGCAAAAAATTTGAAGATGATATTATCTTTATATAAAATGTAACCAATTTTTCTATCATAATCTGTGGAAGTGCTAATAACTGTAATCCAATGTCAATAGACCCATTAATGATGTTTATAATTTAAACCAAAGAACATTCTAATCCAGGAAACACAAGCCACATGATCCAATACCAACTTTGCCTTCACCCTCTCTCACACCCTATTGGATTCCCTTCTACAAAGCAGCTAATCTGACAGACTACAGAACCATCTCAAAAGACAGTCACAAAACCATCTATAGGAAAATGTTTCCTAATCTTGTAATAATTGGATTGTCTGAGCAGTTTGAGGACAATTTCAGCCAGCCATCAGCAATCCCACTGGAAATCCCCTTCCCAAGTCCTACTTCCTAATCCAAACCCCCCCCCCCCCCCGTATTTCAGTAGCAGTTTCTCTCCTTCATTGTTATTCAAACTACTAGACTTCTAGTGACTTCTAGTTCATTAGCTCAGTTTACCAGGGTGACCTTTGTGTCCCCTCTCAGTTTCCCATTGCAAGTTGGATGCTCACACTGAGCATATTTATGCTTCAGAAGAAGCCCAGAGAACATGATGTGCAAGAAACCCGAAGGAGTTAAACCACTCTGGTAAGACCTGGCTTTTCCTTCAGGTTCACAAAGGTCAGACCTAAATGACCTGGACAAGGACAGAGTTCTCCAAATAAGACAGCTCAAAGAGATTAATGATCATGGGTGAGGGATGTGGATGCCTTCTTGAAGACAGCATCTTGAAGCTTTTGCTGGATTATGCCATCTCCTGTTTGTTTATTTATTTGTTTGTTTGTTTGTTTATTTATTTTAACTGCATTTCTATACCGCTTTTCTCACCCCTGGGGGGACTCAAAGCAGTTTACAACATAATAAATGGCAAATTCAATGCCTCACATAAATACAAAAATATCACATATCCAAATCAATAACATATAACTATAGGAAATAACCATTAAAACTATAAAAAACATCATGCATAGACATAAGCATGAAACATATTATTGCTTCAATTAACAATGTAGACCTCTTCTTTTCTGAATCAGCACCCCAAATAACCCCAGGAACAGGCCTAAAAATGAAGACACCGATAATTTTTGTGTGTGTTGGGCTGTGTTATTATCTATGGGTTTTGTTAATGCTCATGTAAAAAAAGAAGGGGAGGGGGCTGAGGTTGAAAAAAAATACAAATAGCAAAGAGCAAGACCAAAGAAAATGTCCCTAACAGTTATAACAACAGCAACTTTGGGGGACTAAACAGGGTCTTGCAAAGGACTCGTTCCCATTACAACTCTTGTGTTTGGAATGAGAGATAATAATAATAATAATAATAATAATAATAATAATAATAATAACTTATCTGCTTTGAACTGAGTTATATGGCAGTGTGGACTCAGATAATCCAGTCCAAAGCAGATATTGTGGATTATATGGCTGTGTGGAAGGGCCCTGAAGGTCTTGCTGTGATGGGAAGAGGAAAGAGAGCAGAAAAGAGCATCAGAGGAAGCCCTCCTTCCAGTCAAAAAGGAAAAGGGAGGAGGTGGACTGAGCGACATGAAGCCTGCTTGTACCTGTGCCTGAGCAAGGCCTGCAGTTCATGGACCTTTCAACAGTGGAAGGCCTGCATTTCCAATGGACCTAACGACTGTTCCTATAGAAAATGCACCTCTTCCAAGCAGGCAGCCACCAGCCCAGCTTCCCAGTTTTTCGAGCCAGTCCCTGGGGTCGTAGAGGTCTCCCCACCACCTCCGCTCTTGGGACGCTTCGGAGTCATTGCCAAAGGGAGAGGCACCTGACAAGCAGCCCCTGCACCCAAACCTCAAGCCGAGGCATCGCCTTGCCAACCAAGGCCAGCCTGCCCTCCTCCCCATGTGCGGACTGACCCACTGGCTCCCGCGCTCTTTAGTGATGTGTCTCCATGCCAACCATGGGGCAGTTCTCTCCCTCTGCTTCTCCCTCTCGCCCTCTCGTGCGTGCCACCAGGTGAGTCTTATCTGCCAGCCGAGAAAGCACAGGCGAGGGCAATGTGCTGGTGTCTCCTTCCTTCCTTCTCTCCCTCTTGCGGACTTTATTTTAGGTCTCACGGTCCACCTGTGGGCTGGGGCCCACGGGTTGGGTACCACTGGACTACACTGACCATATAATGCAATTCAGGTGTGCAGAAACCTCCTGTATTTATGAAGGGGATGCAATTGTTGTTAAAATTATTTATGATTTGCTGCTCATCTAGAAAAAAAAGGAGGAAGTCATAGAAGGGAACATATCCTCTATAACTGCAACAACACATACACATACAAGGGTTAAGAAAAGTGTATAAACTTACAGAGACAGAAGCTGTAGGAATCTGTAGTCATGCTTGAATGTAAAATATTCTACATCTGGCAGTTCGGTATAGTCACTTCTGCGAGCCATCTGTAACAAAATATAGGGAAATATGTCATCCCTGCATCATCATCCCTTGTTATTTTCACTATATTTTTTTTTAAAAAAAAACCTACAAGCTTATATAGGACCAAGCAGAGCTGCCCAGGGAATGAGAAGATAAGGCTGAGGCAATGGGCTCTCACAAAGCAAGCACGCTTCATTCATCGTTATTTATTTATTTATTTATTTATTTAAATGTTTTATATACCGACCTTCTCACCTCTCTTGAGGGACTCAGACCAGTTTCCAACCATAATATCACATACAGTCAATAAAACATCATAATTCATATTACAATAAAACATTAAAACGGCAAGTACATTCAATTATCATTGCATCCTTTGGCCCACTTTGCATATTGATCACCAGAGATCCTCCCCAAAACTTGTAACAAAAATGTAGTTAAACAAAATATAAAAATCCAGCCAAATTTAATACATGGATTAAAGAATGCCGCACTTTTTTCAGCAGTCAGTGAACTGGGAGAGACCACTCAGAAGGGCCTTCCTCTTGTCCATGTGAAATGTGCCTGTGGAGATGCTGGGCTTGAGCAAACCTGAAAGTCTGCACAGATTCATGTAAGAAAATGAAGCAGTCAGTATCAGCTGTGAACCTAGAAGATGACTTTAGTTGTGTTGTTACATACTTTAGTTGTGTTGTTACATATTAGCCCAACGCGACCATGCCTGCTGTGATCAACAGGGATCTGTTCCCTTGTGAATCAGGAAGTACCTAAATGACATTTCCATTCCCTTTTGTGAGTGACATCCATTATGACATGCAGAAGCAGGGTCCTTGCCTCAATTCCCCTCTCACAGTAGAAAATACCCTAAATAAGAACTGGATGACTTCCACAGTCCCTGTACAGTATCTAGATTGAGGGAAGACATGGTGTCCCTCTATTTGGCTTTGGTCAGATATCACCTAGAGTAGTGTGTCCAATTCTGGGCACCACAGTTCAAAAGTGATATTAATAAGCTGGAAGGTGTTCAAAGGAGGGCAACTCAAATGATCAAACATCTAGAGACCATGCCCTATGAGGAGCGTCTTAAAGAACTGGGCATATTTAGCCTGCAGAAAAGAGGTTGAGAGGAGACACGATAGGCATGTATAAAGATGTGAAAGGATGTCATAAGGAAGAGGGTGCAGGCTTATTTCCTGCTGCCCTGCAAACTAGGACTCAGAACAATGGGTTGAAATGACAGGGAAAGGAGATTCCATCTGAACACGAGGAAGAACTTCCTGATTGTGAGAGCCGTTCAACAGTGGAACTCTCTGACTCGGAGTGTGGTGGAGGCTCCTTCTTTGGAAGCTTTTAAACAGAGGCTGGATGGCCATCTGTTCAGGGTGCTTTGAATTTGATTTTCCTGAATGGCAGGGGTTTGGATTTGATGGCCCATGTAGTCTCTTCCAACTCAATTATTCTACTATTCTATGACTCAGTTATTGCGTACTCCCCCCTCTCACCAACAACCCCACAATTTAGTGGCCAGTGGAGTGTAAGGAAAGGGAACTATGTCCTGGCAGCTAGATGCAAAACAACACCATCCTCAGGACCTCTAGAGGACCCCAGGGGATGCCTTTATCACCGCATACACAGCTATAGAGAAATAGCTGGAGATTTCATCACCACCAAGTTCTCTCCACCAACCACTAAATGGTCATGCCAGTGATGTGTGTACTTCTATAGGTGACGGATGTGTTTCAAATGGTGGTGGTGGTGTGGGGGGAGAGATTACACAAGGTAGGCAGCAAAATCCTCCCTGTTGTGGCTGGCATTGGTCACTCATAGAACGCCAGCCACTCGTCCCTTATATGAACCTGCCCATATTAAATAATAGTAATAATAATAATAATAATAATAATAATAATAATAATAATAATAGCAACAACTTTATTTATATAACCACTCTGAGTCTCCCCAAGGGGACTCAGAGCAGTTCCCAGGTAACATCACAAAACATGCAAAGTAAAACAACATAACCATAAGATTAACAAAACAATATAAGCATAAAAATTGTCGCCATAACAGACATACGTTAAAAATAATCCTGCCTGTTCAAGGCAATTAAAAAATTTAAAAGGCCGGGCCAAGATTTGTGCAAGCAACAATAATATGAGGTACTGGTCTGTGGCTGTTCATTCCAGGGCCGATTAGAGGAAGTGATCTGGGGAATTGGTAGGAAGAATAAGGCCGTATTCAACAATGTGTAAGACTAAGTTAGAACTGGTCATTTTCAAAGTCTTGTTGAAACCACTGTCGCAGCTACGGTGTTGCTGCTTTATAGTTGGGGTTCTTTTTCAAACATTCAAACCCCCTTCTTGGAAGCTGCGCCCCGTTGAGAAAAATAATACTATCCACAGAAGACAAACTTTCTTCCAATAAAGTAAATGTTTATGCAATAGTCACAAATAACAGTTTCAATCCATTGATCCTAATATTCCAGCAAACCTTCCTTGAGGTTTTACAAGAATCTATTCCTCTTCTTCTAGCTCTCATGAGAGTCTCTCATCTCACCATCAGCATTCTCTACTCCTTCTCTTCTCTGCTTTCTACATTCTCAGACTCTTAATTTGTAGTAGCTAAGCTCTCACAGGTGGCTTGACTGTTGCTGGTCATACAATGACTGGACATGATTCTTACAATCACTTACCCATTTTTCACTTAAGAAATGATCTAAATAATATAAAACTCTGACAACCACCAGGTCTTCAAGTTCTTACGAAAGGAGGGGAGGGATGGGGCCTGTCTTATTTCCCTTGGAAGGGCGTTTCAGAGGAGGGGGGCGACCACCGAGAAGGCCCTCTCTCTTGTCCCCACCAACCATGCTTGTGACGGAGGTGCAGACACAAAATATACATGGACCATTGTTCCTCATTAAAACTATGTATGTAAGACAAAGTAATCTCAGATTAATGCAGTACAGTCTGTCTTGCAATTGTGCAGATGAGCATTAATGTGCGAAACACCTTTCATCATCTCAGCATCAGTAGAAATATGAATGCTTCTACCATAATGTGTTTTGCCAAGCTTCTTATCTTATATACCAGACTGCTGAAGAGCATACGCAGAGAGGTGAAAAGGGAGATAAAGTTTTTATGGCACCAGCTGAGGCAATACGGAGCACTGGGAAAGGGGGGGGGGGTTAAGGTCTGGTTTGGCTCAGACTGAGAAAGAGTTGGAAGCAATATTCTCCATCTTCAGCTGCACATACATTCCCCCCATGCCTGCTTCAAACATATATTCACACATGCGTTCAGCAGTGGAACTCTCTGCCCCAGAGTGTGGTGGAGGCTCCTTCTTTGGAAGCTTTCAAACAGAGTCTGGATGGCCATCTGTCAGGGGTGATTTGAATGCAATATTCCTGCTTCTTGGCAGGGGGTTGGACTGGATGGCCCATGAGGTCTCTTCCAACTCTTTGATTCTATGATTCTATGATACGTCCCATTGAATCATGCAGCATTCATTGGTAATATTTTAGATTTATGGAAAATTTCAAAAAAAATATTCCCCTTCCTTTATTTTCCTTATAACAAAGAAAACCAAAGTTCAGTAGCTCAATGAATTTTGCAAATGCTCTTTGTCTCTCTCACACATACTCTCGGACTCCTATTTCCCACACAAAGAGAGTTGGTGTCTTTGGAGAAGGAGTCATAGGACCTCTTCACACACCATGCCGTTTCACCAGCAGGTGCCCAGCGTGCCCTCTCTCCTTTCCCCATCATATGGTGGGGATGGGACAAGGCACGTTGGCACCCTGTCCTCATCAGAGGACAGCAGCGCACATTGCCCCCTTCCCCATCCCCAAGAGGGGAAAGGGGCCATTAAAACCCGCATGTGAAGAGGTCCATAGAGTCACAGAACTATAGAATCTAAGAGTTAGAAGGAAGTTCTAGGGTCATCTAGTCCAACACTCTGCTCATTGCAGACTCTCCCTAGCAGATGTTGAGAGAAGGAGTTCAATGGTCCTGCTCTTAGGCAGAGGTAGGGATCTCAAGCAGCTGTTTTAGATGTTGTGAAGGACCAACAAATTAGTTTTTATTTAATCTGCCAATGTTGCATTTCCACTTCCAAGGTCTAAGCGGAAATGTTTGAAGACTTTTTTACCCCACTCTCTGTTCCTCCCCAGTAGCATTGTGGCCATCTTCCGACCTGGGAGCCCCATCTTCCCATGGCATACTGACATATCTCTGGTTGTGCTGGTCCATTTAGTTTTCTTGGTGGTTTGCCATTGCCTTCCCCAGGGATGAGCTTGGTCTGACCTCTCTGCCACGACCTCCCGTCTTGGGTGGCCCTTCACGGTTTCGCTCGTGGCATCATTGAGGTGCTCAAGCTCCAGCGCCATGACAAGGCAGCGATCCTTTGCCAATTGCATCTTCTGAAATATAGCCTACAGCACATGGGATTGATGATTTAGTGTCTCCCACCCAAGAATGAACCAGAGAGAAAAAGAAGGCCTGAAGGAGAGTAACTATGTTGAATATCTTCCAGCTTGTGTGAGATCACTGGGCCCTGACATTGGTTCCGATGGGATTTGTGGTGGGATGTCACTTTGACAGGAGAAATGATGAGCTTCTTCAGAAACAAAAGCAAATTATATCACAGGGAACTCAAACCTGGAGAAGTCGTCACATGGAGATAATGTTTCAAATGAGATGATCGTGTCATTGAGTGAAACAAAAATTGTTAGTCCCAGGCCATCTATTAAATTCATGACTTTAGCAGGAGCTTAAGAAGTTACTTTTAAGAAGAAACACATAACATTTTTTCCAGTTATGAATGGATGTCATTGCATTTATTTTTCTTTAGAGTAAAATTCTAAAGTTTGCATTTCTGGAATTTCTTCTCTGGGGACATACACATGAGATCTTTTTTCCACCTTTAAATAAAAAGAAAATGACAACCAGCCTTAAAAAAAAGAAAGAAAAAGAATGAACCAGAACTAATGTCAGATAGATATATACCCAATTTGGGTGTTTGTTTTCCTGTGTCTTTTTCTGACTCTAGAATCATTTCACAAACTAAGACAGGATAGAGCTTACCACTTAAAAGGATGAAATACAGGATGAAATATACAATCTCCTATCCTCAGAATATGGAGCTTTGTGGAGTAGAAACCTCCTTGCAGTTGCTGTGTCACACCCCACTGGAGGAGGCCTGGGCTGCTAGCTACTCACAAGGAGTCCTGTGAGCAGGCTGGAGATCTTTGTTGGCCCTTCACAGCAAACAGACCTGCAAGCTTGCTGCCAGAGTCTTGGAGTTTTGCCCAGTTGACTCATTTTGCCCAGGCTGCCGGCGCATGGAAACTGGAACAGCCTAATTGAAAACAGAAGCAGAAAAACATGCGTAAACTAACGGACATTGTTGTAATGGTCCAGGATTTTTCCTCTTGTTGCTCACTATTGGACTGCTCTAATAGCCCAGGGTTTGCATTTTTAGCTAATAACAGTGTACCCCAAAACAGCTAGTGCATTGTACTTACCGCCATATATCTTCCTATAATAGGAGGTGACCCACTTTGGACCTTGTGTAGACTGAAAAGGAAAAAATGTGGATTTATGGATTTATGGACATGTTGCCAGAGGTTTACCAAGAAACAGACCTGCAAGTTTGCTGCCAGAGTCTTGGAGTTTTGCCCAGTTGACTCGTTTTGCCCAGGCTGCCGGCGCATGGAAACTGGAACAGCCTGATTGAAAACAGAAGCAGAAAAACATGCGTAAACTAACGGACATTGTTGTAATGGTTCAGGATTTTTCTTGGGTGGCCCTTCACGGTTTCGCTCGTGGCATCATTGAGGTGCTCAAGCTCCAGCGCCATGACAAGGCAGCGATCCTTTGCCAATTGCATCTTCTGAAATATAGCCTACAGCACATGGGATTGATGATTTAGTGTCTCCCACCCAAGAATGAACCAGAGAGAAAAAGAAGGCCTGAAGGAGAGTAACTATGTTGAATATCTTCCAGCTTGTGTGAGATCACTGGGCCCTGACATTGGTTCCGATGGGATTTGTGGTGGGATGTCACTTTGACAGGAGAAATGATGAGCTTCTTCAGAAACAAAAGCAAATTATATCACAGGGAACTCAAACCTGGAGAAGTCGTCACATGGAGATAATGTTTCAAATGAGATGATCGTGTCATTGAGTGAAACAAAAATTGTTAGTCCCAGGCCATCTATTAAATTCATGACTTTAGCAGGAGCTTAAGAAGTTACTTTTAAGAAGAAACACATAACATTTTTTCCAGTTATGAATGGATGTCATTGCATTTATTTTTCTTTAGAGTAAAATTCTAAAGTTTGCATTTCTGGAATTTCTTCTCTGGGGACATACACATGAGATCTTTTTTCCACCTTTAAATAAAAAGAAAATGACAACCAGCCTTAAAAAAAAGAAAGAAAAAGAATGAACCAGAACTAATGTCAGATAGATATATACCCAATTTGGGTGTTTGTTTTCCTGTGTCTTTTTCTGACTCTAGAATCATTTCACAAACTAAGACAGGATAGAGCTTACCACTTAAAAGGATGAAATACAGGATGAAATATACAATCTCTTATCCTCAGAATATGGAGCTTGATGGAGTAGAAGCCTCCTTGCAGTTGCTGAGTCACACCCCACTGGAGGAGGCCTGGGCCGCTGGCTCCTCACAAGGAGTCCTGTGAGCAGGCTGGAGATCTTTGTTGGCCCTTCACAGCAAACAGACCTGCAAGCTTGCTGCCAGAGTCTTGGAGTTTTGCCCAGTTGACTCATTTTGCCCAGGCTGCCGGCGCATGGAAACTGGAACAGCCTAATTGAAAACAGAAGCAGAAAAACATGCGTAAACTAACGGACATTGTTGTAATGGTCCAGGATTTTTCCTCTTGTTGCTCACTATTGGACTGCTCTAATAGCCCAGGGTTTGCATTTTTAGCTAATAACAGTGTACCCCAAAACAGCTAGTGCATTGTACTTACCGCCATATATCTTCCTATAATAGGAGGTGACCCACTTTGGACCTTGTGTAGACTGAAAAGGAAAAAATGTGGATTTATGGATTTATGGACATGTTGCCAGAGGTTTACCAAGAAACAGACCTGCAAGTTTGCTGCCAGAGTCTTGGAGTTTTGCCCAGTTGACTCGTTTTGCCCAGGCTGCCGGCGCATGGAAACTGGAACAGCCTGATTGAAAACAGAAGCAGAAAAACATGCGTAAACTAACGGACATTGTTGTAATGGTTCAGGATTTTTCTTGGGTGGCCCTTCACGGTTTCGCTCGTGGCATCATTGAGGTGCTCAAGCTCCAGCGCCATGACAAGGCAGCGATCCTTTGCCAATTGCATCTTCTGAAATATAGCCTACAGCACATGGGATTGATGATTTAGTGTCTCCCACCCAAGAATGAACCAGAGAGAAAAAGAAGGCCTGAAGGAGAGTAACTATGTTGAATATCTTCCAGCTTGTGTGAGATCACTGGGCCCTGACATTGGTTCCGATGGGATTTGTGGTGGGATGTCACTTTGACAGGAGAAATGATGAGCTTCTTCAGAAACAAAAGCAAATTATATCACAGGGAACTCAAACCTGGAGAAGTCGTCACATGGAGATAATGTTTCAAATGAGATGATCGTGTCATTGAGTGAAACAAAAATTGTTAGTCCCAGGCCATCTATTAAATTCATGACTTTAGCAGGAGCTTAAGAAGTTACTTTTAAGAAGAAACACATAACATTTTTTCCAGTTATGAATGGATGTCATTGCATTTATTTTTCTTTAGAGTAAAATTCTAAAGTTTGCATTTCTGGAATTTCTTCTCTGGGGACATACACATGAGATCTTTTTTCCACCTTTAAATAAAAAGAAAATGACAACCAGCCTTAAAAAAAAAGAAAAAAAGAATGAACCAGAACTAATGTCAGATAGATATATACCCAATTTGGGTGTTTGTTTTCCTGTGTCTTTTTCTGACTCTAGAATCATTTCACAAACTAAGACAGGATAGAGCTTACCACTTAAAAGGATGAAATACAGGATGAAATATACAATCTCCTATCCTCAGAATATGGAGCTTTGTGGAGTAGAAACCTCCTTGCAGTTGCTGTGTCACACCCCACTGGAGGAGGCCTGGGCTGCTAGCTACTCACAAGGAGTCCTGTGAGCAGGCTGGAGATCTTTGTTGGCCCTTCACAGCAAACAGACCTGCAAGCTTGCTGCCAGAGTCTTGGAGTTTTGCCCAGTTGACTCATTTTGCCCAGGCTGCCGGCGCATGGAAACTGGAACAGCCTAATTGAAAACAGAAGCAGAAAAACATGCGTAAACTAACGGACATTGTTGTAATGGTCCAGGATTTTTCCTCTTGTTGCTCACTATTGGACTGCTCTAATAGCCCAGGGTTTGCATTTTTAGCTAATAACAGTGTACCCCAAAACAGCTAGTGCATTGTACTTACCGCCATATATCTTCCTATAATAGGAGGTGACCCACTTTGGACCTTGTGTAGACTGAAAAGGAAAAAATGTGGATTTATGGATTTATGGACATGTTGCCAGAGGTTTACCAAGAAACAGACCTGCAAGTTTGCTGCCAGAGTCTTGGAGTTTTGCCCAGTTGACTCGTTTTGCCCAGGCTGCCGGCGCATGGAAACTGGAACAGCCTGATTGAAAACAGAAGCAGAAAAACATGCGTAAACTAACGGACATTGTTGTAATGGTTCAGGATTTTTCTTGGGTGGCCCTTCACGGTTTCACTCGTGGCATCATTGAGGTGCTCAAGCTCCAGCGCCATGACAAGGCAGCGATCCTTTGCCAATTGCATCTTCTGAAATATAGCCTACAGCACATGGGATTGATGATTTAGTGTCTCCCACCCAAGAATGAACCAGAGAGAAAAAGAAGGCCTGAAGGAGAGTAACTATGTTGAATATCTTCCAGCTTGTGTGAGATCGCTGGGCCCTGACATTGGTTCCGATGGGATTTGTGGTGGGATGTCACTTTGACAGGAGAAATGATGAGCTTCTTCAGAAACAAAAGCAAATTATATCACAGGGAACTCAAACCTGGAGAAGTCGTCACATGGAGATAATGTTTCAAATGAGATGATCGTGTCATTGAGTGAAACAAAAATTGTTAGTCCCAGGCCATCTATTAAATTCATGACTTTAGCAGGAGCTTAAGAAGTTACTTTTAAGAAGAAACACATAACATTTTTTCCAGTTATGAATGGATGTCATTGCATTTATTTTTCTTTAGAGTAAAATTCTAAAGTTTGCATTTCTGGAATTTCTTCTCTGGGGACATACACATGAGATCTTTTTTCCACCTTTAAATAAAAAGAAAATGACAACCAGCCTTAAAAAAAAGAAAGAAAAAGAATGAACCAGAACTAATGTCAGATAGATATATACCCAATTTGGGTGTTTGTTTTCCTGTGTCTTTTTCTGACTCTAGAATCATTTCACAAACTAAGACAGGATAGAGCTTACCACTTAAAAGGATGAAATACAGGATGAAATATACAATCTCCTATCCTCAGAATATGGAGCTTGATGGAGTAGAAGCCTCCTTGCAGTTGCTGAGTCACACCCCACTGGAGGAGGCCTGGGCTGCTGGCTACTCACAAGGAGTCCTGTGAGCAGGCTGGAGATCTTTGTTGGCCCTTCACAGCAAGCACTGCAGACTCCGGGCACTTGTGTTGTGCCTGATAGAGCTTACCACTTAAAAGGATGAAATACAGAATGAAATATACAATCTCCTATCCTCAGAATATGGAGCTTTGTGGAGTAGAAGCCTCCTTGCAGTTGCTGAGTCACACCCCACTGGAGGAGGCCTGGGCTGCTGGCTACTCACAAGGAGTCCTGTGAGCAGGCTGGAGATCTTTGTTGGCCCTTCACAGCAAGCACTGCAGACTCACTTGTGTTGTGCCTGATAGAGCTTACAACTTAAAAGTATGAAATACAGAATGAAATATACAATCTCCTATCCTCAGAATATGGAGCTTTGTGGAGTAGAAGCCTCCTTGCAGTTGCTGAGTCACACCCCACTGGAGGAGGCCTGGGCTGCTGGCTACTCACAAGGAGTCCTGGGAGCAGGCTGGAGATCTTTGTTGGCCCTTCACAGCAAGCACTGCAGACTCCGGGCACTTGTGTTGTGCCTGATAGAGCTTACCACTTAAAAGGATGAAATACAGGATGAAATATACAATCTCCTATCCTCAGAATATGGAGCTTTGTGGAGTAGAAACCTCCTTGCAGTTGCTGTGTCACACCCCACTGGAGGAGGCCTGGGCTGCTGGCTACTCACAAGGAGTCCTGGGAGCAGGCTGGAGATCTTTGTTGGCCCTTCACAGCAAGCACTGCAGACTCCGGGCACTTGTGTTGTGCCTGATAGAGCTTACCACTTAAAAGGATGAAATACAGGATGAAATATACAATCTCCTATCCTCAGAATATGGAGCTTTGTGGAGTAGAAACCTCCTTGCAGTTGCTGTGTCACACCCCACTGGAGGAGGCCTGGGCTGCTGGCTACTCACAAGGAGTCCTGTGAGCAGGCTGGAGATCTTTGTTGGCCCTTCACAGCAAACAGACCTGCAAGCTTGCTGCCAGAGTCTTGGAGTTTTGCCCAGTTGACTCATTTTGCCCAGGCTGCCGGCGCATGGAAACTGGAACAGCCTAATTGAAAACAGAAGCAGAAAAACATGCGTAAACTAACGGACATTGTTGTAATGGTCCAGGATTTTTCCTCTTGTTGCTCACTATTGGACTGCTCTAATAGCCCAGGGTTTGCATTTTTAGCTAATAACAGTGTACCCCAAAACAGCTAGTGCATTGTACTTACCGCCATATATCTTCCTATAATAGGAGGTGACCCACTTTGGACCTTGTGTAGACTGAAAAGGAAAAAATGTGGATTTATGGATTTATGGACATGTTGCCAGAGGTTTACCAAGAAACAGACCTGCAAGTTTGCTGCCAGAATCTTGGAGTTTTGCCCAGTTGACTTGTTTTGCCCAGGCTGACGGCGTATGGAAACTGGAACAGCCTGATTGAAAACAGAAGCAGAAAAACATGCGTAAACTAACGGACATTGTTGTAATGGTTCAGGATTTTTCCGCTTGTCGCTCACTATTGGACTGCTCTAATAGCCCAGGGTTTGCATTTTTTAATAACAGTGTACCCCAAAACAGCTAGTGCATTGTACTTACCTCCATATAACATCCTATAATAGGAGGTGACCCACTTTGGACCCTGTGTAGACTGAAAAGGAAAAAATGCATGACATTATTTATCATGCCGCTAAATATTACCAAGAAACAGACCTGCAAGTTTGCTGCCAGAGTCTTGGAGTTTTGCCCAGTTGACTCGTTTTGCCCAGGCTGCCGGCGCATGGAAACTGGAACAGCCTGATTGAAAACAGAAGCAGAAAAACATGCGTAAACTAACGGACATTGTTGTAATGGTTCAGGATTTTTCCTCTTGTTGCTCACTATTGGACTGCTCTAATAGCACAGGGTTTGCATTTTTAGCTAATAACAGTGTACCCCAAAACAGCTAATGCATTGTACTTACCGCCATATATCTTCCTATAATAAGAGGTGACCCACTTTGGACCTGGTGTAGACTGAAAAGGAAAAAATGTGGATTTATGGATTTATGGACATGTTGCCAGAGGTTTACCAAGAAACAGACCTGCAAGTTTGCTGCCAGAGTCTTGGAGTTTTGCCCAGTTGACTCGTTTTGCCCAGGCTGCCGGCGCATGGAAACTGGAACAGCCTGATTGAAAACAGAAGCAGAAAAACATGCGTAAACTAACGGACATTGTTGTAATGGTTCAGGATTTTTCCTCTTGTCGCTCACTATTGGACTGCTCTAATAGCACAGGGTTTGCATTTTTAGCTAATAACAGTGTACCCCAAAACAGCTAATGCATTGTACTTACCGCCATATATCTTCCTATAATAAGAGGTGACCCACTTTGGACCTGGTGTAGACTGAAAAGGAAAAAATGTGGATTTATGGATTTATGGACATGTCGCCGGAGGTTTACCAAGAAACAGACCTGCAAGCTTGCTGCCAGAAATATGCTGATGGAAAATACACTCCTACTACACTTCCTCAATGGGAAATGCGCTGATGGGAAATACACTCCAACTACACTTCCTCAATGGGAAATACGCTGATGGGAAATACACTCCAACTAAGTCGAAGGCAACCATCAACTGATACTTTTTTAACTGTCTTTCCGATGTCATCAGTTTTTATCAACAACTGAAGTCATCAATTTAAGCAATGATCATTTTTGAATGGTCAAGAAGTGTTAGGCATCACAGGTATCCATGACATAGGTGGATAGGAATGAAAAGATAAGTGAGTTTAGTGGTGACACATATTCAGTGTTTCACTCCTGGATGCCACTGCATCTGGAGCCCCTTGACTGTACAGCTCCTTCCTTAGTAAGTTAGAAGAAGCTCATATGACTGCCCAGGTGCAAATCCAGGCATTCAAATATCCAGAAAATATATCTAAAAAACCAAAACCAAGAAACAGACCTGCAAGCTTGCTGCCAGAATCTTGGAGTTTTGCCCAGTTGACTCGTTTTGTCCAGGCTGCCGGCGCATGGAAACTGGAACAGCCTGATTGAAAACAGAAGCAGAAAAACATGCGTAAACGAACAGACATTGTTGTAATGGTTCAGGATTTTTCCTCTTGTTGCTCACTATTGGACTGCTCTAATAGACCAGGGTTTGCATTTTTAGCTAATAACAGTGTACCCCAAAACAGCTAGTGCATTGTACTTACCGCCATATATCTTCCTATAATAGGAGGTGACCCACTTTGGACCTTGTGTAGACTGAAAAGGAAAAAATGTGGATTTATGGATTTATGGACATGTTGCTCACTATTGGACTGCTCTAATAACACAGGGTTTGCATTTTTAGCTAATATGAATGACAGACAGCTGTCCAGATAAAGCTTCTTAGAGAAAGAGATATTTTTGTCTGTACTTAGAGGAGGAGCCAATAATGAAATCGGTTTTGACATCTCCTGAATGACAGGCAGAATACATTCCCAGATGTTTGTACCAGACAGCTAAAGGCTGTGCATGAGAGCCAGGCATTCGCTGAAAAAAAATGCATGACATTATTTATCATGCCGCTAAATAATCCATCTGAATAAATAAATGACCCATACATGTTCTTTTTAGTCACTTTCCTTTAAAAATGAAATTAACTTTCTTGCTAAAGCGGTTGAAATTCCCTTTGCAAGTGCATACTGAATAAAATTAATATTAATTTGATTTTTGTTAGTACTTTACAAAATGGGACTTTTTTTCCTTATTAAAGTTGGGGGAAAAAAGCCTGAGATTTCAGCTAAGTAGTTACCATAAAATTTCTGTGTAATCCGGCTGCAAATTAGTGCGAAACAATTTTCATGTAATTTCTTGCAAAAGCATCATATCAGAATAGAAACTCTACATGGTTCTGGTTGGATGCTCTATCCACAAGAAAGAGATCCATCTTTTTCTCACGAAAAATACAGTTAGCCGTCCTTGTTAATGAAACCAATGGGCATGCCTCTTTTATACTGTTTCCCGACTGC